CATATTATTACATCGTAATGTTGGGCTAAACAATGCAAAACTTGTGAGTGTGAGGTCTGAGATGACAATGGGAGTGAAAATGCATGCATACACAGATCTCAAGTCAACCTTCAAGCTCACAATCCAAAAACATTGAAACTCGCACCTCGTGTGGTCATCTGAATCCCATTTGAAACCAGATTATGATGCTACATGCACAAAAGGACATTGAATGTTGGCTTGTGTTACTTAAAGGGATAGTTCACCCCCCAAAATCTATCATCACATCAGAGAAATTTTGCGGGGGAAAAAAGGTCCATTGTTTATTGACTTCTGTATGAGTTGTGCTTCATACATCTCTAGGCTATTGACAATTTCAATCCAAGCAACTTTGTGTTGGTCAACGTGGCGAATCATGATTCTGCTGCAGCTGCAAAATCAGTGTGGGGGATTTCCAGAACACATGCAAAATTCCTATAGATTGCTATTGAAATAACAAGTTAGCCAGCAAAAAAACTGTGGCCACACCATTACACACGCTTGTGCTGTTCTAGACTGAATTACTTTTATCTGCAGAAGACAAAAGAACATATTTTTGTCTATGAAAGTCAATGGGGTCCAAATGTTTTAAAGCTTTAAAAAGGGCATAAAGGTAGTAAATATCAAATAATTTATTAAATATGTTGGCACGTCAGTAATATCAAACCGCATTGGTTCTTGTGAGCCACATGATGTCATGACACAAGAACCAATGAGGTTTAATGTTACAGATGTGTCGCAATATTTGATTTGGGCTCTGTACAATATATGAGTAGATCAATGTTTTGATTTGATTTGAGAGTGAATAAGCACTTTAATGTCACTCTATTCATCATACAAAGTAATCATATCGCTAAAGTTTGGATTACTTTTACACTACCTTTATGTCCTTTTTGGAGCTTGAAACGGTTGGACCCCATTGACTATTATTGTAATGACAAAACAAGCGAATACATTCTTACAAATGTGTTGTGCCGAATAAAGTTTTTGAAACGACATGAGGGTGAGTAAATGATGAGAGAATGATGTTCATTTTTGGGTGAACTATCCTTTTGAGATGTTGGGAAACAACCAATCTACCGAAACAAAATCAACAATAAAAGCACAATCACGTTTCCAGTTCAACTTGATGTTACCCATTTCACAGTGTGAAAAACAGGCTTTCTCTATAGGGACAATTTAAAGTCTTAAAGCTACAGGAGCACCGTACTGAACGCCCGCCAAACCCAAGCCTTCAGGGTTTAAATCGTGTCCTTCTTTGGGCGACCCATTCCGGTAGGCCCACACAAGTTGCATTGCTCCATAGATTGACAGTGGCTGGCTCTCGCTGGTGTGGGAACTGGGAATCGCTGAGTCTTCTATATGGCTATTCCATCCTCTGCTGCGCAGAGGTCAAAGTGCATAGACAGCTACAAGATTTCCACCTCTCAATGTGGAGGTCGTTTTGCACACTCATGTTCCAAACACAGTGCTGCGAGTAAAGGCGGTGGGAATCAATATGTTCCATTTAGGAGGGATGAAATATCCTCTTCAAACTGTGAAAAACATGAAACAGAGTTCTGAGCTTAGCTGCTGGAAGAAAGGCCCTTTTTCGGCAGAGGGGAAACATTTTGGTGGATCTCTCCGCATGATGCTAATACATGTCCAGCTGGCCTGTGTTCTCATCACAGGCCTCCTTGGTTGAACAAGGTAAAAGAGTCCATAAACACCAAAAAGAGTCCAAAAACAAAACAGTGTCTGCATTAAAACACTAGTAATTAGTCATTACAAAAAAAAGCTACACAACGTCAAGGCCTTAAAGTTCAACCTGAATTGAAAATAAATGTACTGATAAAGGTATTACTAAGGGCTGACATTCTTCGCTATGTGAGTATTTAAGACATATTCAGGCACATAGTGACATTTGGAAAGCAGTGTCTAGATCGGTCTAGATCAGTACCTGCGAAGAAAGGTAAAATGCTACATTTTCGCAGCAGAGAAAAACAAAAGTGGACCACATTGCATCATTATTTGCAGTTAAACAAGAACAACAGGACTAAAGGCCGTAACATACCAAGCCGACACATCTGTCAGCTCAGTTTTTAGTTGGACCACATCTGCGGATTTTTGGCCGATTGAGCATGTCGAATCTGTGTAGGGCAGTCGGTGAAATAGATCATTCTAATTGGCTGTCGGCTTATGGAACCAGTGCCCGAGAATTGACAAAGTCAAGAGTGCACACACAGAAGGCTCTTCTTATTTTACATCATGTAAATTCGCATTCCAATATGCAAATACTTTCATAAAAACATGACCGTCTGGAATGAAGAAAGTGATCAACATGATTCATATTTCAAAATGGTAAGCAAGCGCTGCTTTGTTTACGGTTTGTATTTCGGCAGTCCTAGTTCCGGTTTCCCTTTTTGAATGACGGATACAGACTGCCAACTGCTGGTATGGAAAGTTATTTCCTCTCACAGAACGTACATGCTAGTTGGCCGTTGGCTGTAGTCTTTGCGGTCTGTTCAAGCGGCAGACGCAAGGCGAAAACAATGTCGGCTGTTTTCGCCCCTAGTTCTTTGATGCCAGTTTGGTGTGTCACAGCCTTAAAGGAGAACTCCGGTCAATTTTAACATTGAGCTCATTTTTTTGTACATTTGGATTGCTGTCAGTACAGACAAAAACGACAAAAATCGGTGTTGCCTACACCGTGTTATCCTCTTTTTAAAATTCGCACCCTGTTGACTTCAATGGGGCAAGTTCTAAACCTGCTTTTAGCCTCTTAACATCCTTGATTTGTCATTACAAGTGCACAGCCATGTGAGTGGTGTTATTAAGAGTGACCACGGTCAATCTGACTGCAGTAAATGTGAAAGATATGTTGTTAAGAGGCTAAAAGCAGGTTTAGAACTTGCCCCATTGAAGTCAACAGGGTGCGAATTTTAAAAAGAGGATAACACGGTGTAGGCAACACCGATTTTTGTCGTTTTTGTCTGTACTGACAGCACTCCAAATGTACAAAAAAATGAGCTCAATGTTAAAATTGACCGGAGTTCTCCTTTAAAGGGATTTAAGATTTCATGTATGTGAAAATCTATCCATCCAAAATCTAATGGGCCATCTTACAGCCCATCATACACTCATGAGGTATACGGGACTTTACACACGCATCCCTTAAAAAGGGCACAAGCACACATTGGAATGTCATTATTAGGGCCAGGTTCACACAGAACGCGTTTTCACGTTCCACTGCGCAGCGTTTATTTGGGTGCATCTTACCCAGACAGCAACATAGTGCCGGCCCACAACTGCTACTCTGGTACACAATGTTGCTGTCTGGGCAATCAGCTCCCTAGGTTGTGAATGAGTGTATGTTGTTTGCACAAATTCGGGCACTGCTAAGAACCCTGACTCACTACACATTGGGACGTTTCCGACAACATGACAACGTACTTGCATTTTAAAACGCCACCACTGTTATTTATCAACAACAACAGACCAATATCTTTTAAAAGTACAGAATCTTCTGTTGTGTGTCATGATGTGTATGTTTTGCGCTTCAGAAAATGTGACATATTTTCCGGTAAGGGACCCTGGTTTTTGTGGTGCATTGGGGCCTTTTTTTAGGGAGTGAACGTTCCAGTGCACTGGAAGTGGCCCTTAAAATGGCAGGCTCCCCGATCAGTGCCCTGACTACTAAACTTGGGAGCTGATTGAGACGCACCCTTTATTTTTCAATGTAAACATTTGCTACACGGATTCTCGATGCCGCGTCAAGTTGTAAGCAGTTCAACTTTCAAAAATCCGTCTCAAAAACCTGCATTCTTTTCCATGCCTTGCGTGCTTATTAATCCAGCGTTTTAATCGCAAGAACGTGTTCTTTTGTGAACGGCCCCTTACAGTAAGATGCTGGCTGTATACTAAATTCTCCAATTTAACAGCACATTTCCAGAACCTTTAGGGGTTTGACAGTTTCTTAGGGACTATATTCAAGTGCAGAATTGACCTGGGTCCATGTCAAGAAGGAAGCCTCATGATTTCCTAGGCAGCAAACAAACCAGAACTTTAAACTGGGATGTATCAAAATATGTCCTATCACAATAAATCCTATTAAATTACATTAAATTGATCACACAGTCAGAATGCCTGAGGAAGATCTAAACAATATTTTGAGCCAAAACGAAAGCTGATTTAAAGTAGCATTTAACAACGCTATTTGGCTCACGTGGAAGTTTTCCATAGCCTCAGGTGAAGCAAAATCCTTCCAAAAGTTTTCCATGGCATTATTCTGGTGCAAGACGCACTTGAGGAGCATTTTGGACAGGGTTGGAAGGCCCATCTATGAGTACATTACATATATAAAAATGTACTCAACAATGTGCATAATACTTAGTCCACTCTCTGATCCGAAACAGATACTGAAATGACTGCCAGTAAAAGAAGTGTGCAAACTAATGAGGACCAGGGGTAAATCTGACCAGAAGTTGCACCAGCTTAAAATGAAACAGCTGATGGCATCTTCGAAAACATTCGGACTTAAACGCCAAGTTAGATGTTTTCCTGGTGCTACATGATTGCAGCTGTGATCTCAGCACTTTGGAAATACTCTGAAATCTCACACACGTTCAGCGGGGCATATGCTCACAGGAGCCTGTGTGAGCTTGATAAATGCATTCCATTTACATGATCTGTACCAGCGAAGGAGTCAAAGCTGTTTTGTTTTAAAAAGATAACTTTTGAAATGACATCTGAAATGAAAGGAGCCAATAGGTTGAACTTAATCTGATCTAAATTCTGGTCAGAATGAGCAAGTGAACACAATCAGATTCATATTGCTTCAGGTTACTTTCATTACGAAATTCCCAGTTGGAGACTGGCCTTCCTAATTTATCCTTTTGAATTAGATAAAAAGGGAATGTGAGAGTAGTTGTTATAACAATAAACAGAAACGCAAGGACAAGATCTTTTTGGCAATGGAAAATATCCAGCTATCTGAATTTTGCAATTTGTAAAGGCAGTTGTCCAGTAGTAATCCAGGAACAAAATGTAGCAGTTGTGTTTTCACAACAACCCATCAGTGATGTTCTTGACAAGCGAGATGGTCCCGATGAATTATGCCGACTCCCTTTTTTTAAGCGGACTCAAATGGTAACATAAAACAAACAGAACTAAGCAAAATGGTAATCAGTTTACATTTACAAATTACAGACGAAAAAGCTGCCAAATAGGCACAGAGGTGTGTGTCTGTCCAGAGTTTGCAGTCGGGATGTCCAGCGTGTAAGGGGGGATGGGGTGTCGTCAGGGGGTCGAGTCTCTAGTGGATGGGGTTAATATCTGTGCGGTGATTGGGTCCCGTGCTGGAGGTGGTGATGGTATTGTGCTGGATGACTTGCTGCTGGGTTACAGGGGTGGGACTCCCTGCCGGACTGCTCTCTGGACCTGAGGGACAAGAGGAGAGATGAAGATGTGTGTGTGTGCGTCCAGCTGTCTGACATCTGTCCATATCCGTCTGTCTGCCAGTCACATCTGTTCATCACTCAATCCATTCATCCTTCCATCCATATGTCTATCTATCCATCTGTATTGCTGTCCATCTGTCCTTCCTTCCTTCCATCCATCCATCCATCTGTAGAATTTTCTATCTGTCCATCCATCCATATGTCTGTCTATCCATGTATCCATCTATCCATTCATCCGTGTCCAACACTTAATGTATCCATCCATCCTTACATTAATCAGTGTGTTTGTCTATCCATTCATTCTTACATCCATCCATCCATCTAATCATATGTCTGTCTATCTGACCATCCATCAATCCATCCATCCGTATGTCCATCCATCCATCCATTTGTCTGTCTCCATCCATCCATCCATCCATATGTCTATTTGTCCATCCATCCATCCATCCATCCACCCATATGTCTATCTGTCCATCCATCCATCTATTTGTCTGTCTCCATCCATACATCCATATGCATATCTGTCCATCCATATGTCTATCTGTCTGTCCATCCATCCATCCATCTGTATGTCTTTTTATTTGCTTTCTAAAAAATAAAACAGATTAAAGAGATCTCATTTTGTGATTTTCTTTCCCATGAGAAGACTGAATAATAATGTAAAGATAATAAACACCACACTTAGATGAATATTTAAATATTCACATCTTGTATTATTAATGAATTTGGAAGTTTAGAAAGACAGGCAGGGCACATTACCTGAAGGCATTTACTGTACTTCAAAGTGAAAATGGAAACAATATATCTATTTCCTGCATTATATAAACGCCACAACAGGTTGTTCAGTGACTGACAAAATGAGTGTGTTTTCCCCTCCCCTATAACCAGGGAGTGACAGCCTCCATACATTTAAAAAATGTCACAAGTATCTATATCAGTGGGTGTGTCCTACAAACAATATACATCTGTTATAACGTAATGTCACCCCTGGCCGTGTGTGTGCGGGATAGTACTCACTGAGGTAACCTTGAGACTCTTTCTGCATGGTGGTGATGGGACAGTCCTTATGTGTCAATAAAAGCTGTTTCAGTTGTGTCACCTCATTCTTTAGCATGGTGACCTCGCTCTGCCAACAAACACAATGATAATATCAAACACTCACAAAAAGTCCCTCAGTGTTTACAGGAATTCAATAACTTGTTGCTATTGAAATATCCAATCATACACATTGGCAACAGACATAAAACAAAACTTTTTTTTCTGGTGTGTAGCAACACAAAGTTCAAGCACAACTAAATGTCCCTCATTATTTCACAGATTAAAAACATGTATATTTCACAAAGCACAAGTTTCCTGGATACAGCCTGGCGTGAATTTGACTGCTTAAGAATTACCGTCCGTTGAAATGCCTTCATAGTTTAAAATCAAATTCAAGCCGTGTTGGGGAAATCACGTTTGTGAGAGCTAACCCTTCCTTCCTTAGTATGCAAACAAATCTAAACAAAGGCACACATGTTTATGATGTTTTGTTTTTGTCATAAACCATACAATACTTAACATAATTATGACAAACACGTTGGAAAAAAGGTCTCTGGTGGCTGTACTGGCAACTTCACGTCAAACCTCCCAGCAGACACACTGAATTAAAGGCCAGACAAGTCTGGGTCTCATTAGAAAACCTCATAATGAACAGGCGGTGAATTCTCTGCAATTACCGTTGTGGGAAACACGAGCATCTGATCACACAGTGTTCTTGAATTTGATTAAACGATTTAGCAGAAGCAATATGAATATATGGCAGCGTTTCAGGGATGCTTGGTGGAGAAGAATCCTCGCTTTGACAGGTACCATGTTTGTGACTGTGGGGTGAATATTTCCCAAAAGACCAAACAAGCCTGAACAGTGGGACTATGGGAGTGCCAGGGTGTCTATGAGTAGTCTGTCCCACCTCGTCAAACTATGCAATAGCAAAGAAAAACAAACACATTTAACATGTTTTGTTCTATTGTTGGTGGGAACTAGGGCTGGGTGAAATTATATCTCAATATTTTTCAGCCTTTTGACTGTATAAAATATATATATATTGATATTTAGGTATTTGCTTGGATTAAAAATGTTGTTTTTTTTAATCAGAGGAACCTTCATTTCAATTAAAGCTAATTTAATTTGTATTGTTTAATACAAGATGCAAAATACAGTAAAAAAATGTTTTTATTGTAACAAAGGCATGTTTTTTCACATTTGTTTACTAAATAAAAGGAAGAATATGATTTTATGTTTTCATTTATATGCACCAGTACAGCTACTGTATACATCAGAATAAACAGAAATATTTGCCTACATATTTTTTTACTAAATGTCATCCAACCGTTTTCTTTTTTTAAAACTTTTATTCTGCAAGGATACATTAAACTGATAAAAATGTACATTTATAATGTTTAAAAAAAACATTTCCTGAAAAAATGAAAAAGTAATGATTGCTGAAAAGTCAGCATACTTCACAACATTACTGTTTTTACTGTACTTTATGGTATTTTTACTGTAAATATATCAGTGAACATTTCTGAGTCACTATGCCAATGAATCTGTCTTGAACTGATTTTCTAAAACAGACTGTTTGAACTGATTCAAGTCATGAGACCAAGATGAATCACAACATGTAATTAAAAACGAATTAAACTCTTTGCAATATTCACAAAGTTGTCAACAAAATATATTTTAAATATATCAGAAGTATTCTTAGATCACCTAGCCCTAAATTGAAAGACTCAAACCACTATAAAAGTACAACCAGCAAATATTCACTATTTTGTCCCAGGTCAAGACAGGTTACTGCTAAGGTCAGAGAAGAGCAGAGAGTGAATGATGTGGCATGATGGAGAAAGACCACCCAAAGATGGTCAGGCTGTTCTGGTTTCCAGGTTTTAGAGGGGCTTTGGACACATGTCATATGGTTAGAATGGGAGACCGGCTGGCCGACCAACTATACCACCTGAAACATCCATGCTGAAAACCAGTTTAGGCTGGTTTAAGTTGTGGGCAATGCAGGATATACTCAACACATCCTCCAAAAATAGGCTTACATGAATATCCACATGGCATCAATCTTTCAGGTAAACCTCTATGCAGATTCAAGGTCTATTGAGAGCCTAAATGGACGCGTTCAAATGGAAACCTCGAAATGTGCTGTGATGCTCAGAGGTTTTACTGGCCTACAAACCACACATTCAGCTGCAGCTGGCTGTGCTCTGGTTACTCTATAGACCTCAATAACCCATTGACCCTTCCCTCCTCACAGCCGTCCCAGTCTGCTCTCCATCTACAGTAGCTTCAGCTGTCACATGAAGGGTGTTTATGAGCTTCTGTGGTCTAGAGTAAGCTAATACCGAGTGAAATATGACGCCCGGCGTGAAATACATCTCAGTGTGTGTTCCAAAGTGGAGTGCGCCTTAACGCTTAAAAACCGAGGCCTTCAGCTGAGGAGAAGTGTGCGAATGAGTGATGCTGACCTGCAACTGCATGTTGGTTTGGGTGAGCTCCTCTGCTTTCTTTTCTAGCGACATCACCCACACTTTCCTCTTCTGTCTGCAGCGTGTGGCGGCTGCGCGATTCCTCTCCAGGAACTTCCGTCTGCGCTCGTCTGGGTCTTCATCCATGACCCGCCTGCGACGACCTCCGCTGGGCGGCGGGGACTGAAGGGTCTGCGTCGGCTGCATGTGCTGCGCAGCCGGAGATAACTGTAAAAAAAAAAAAAAAAAAAGAGTCTGAAGTTACATTCTCTCCCGAGGCATTATATTCATATTCATAGACCTGGCTGCCGGCCAATCACCTGCCAAACATTCTCCTCATTCAGACCTCTCCAGCCAGAAACTTCCTGTCTGGGAGTTTTCTTTAAAACAACATGTCCCCTGTACACGTGGCCCTACGGCCTTATGATGGACGTCTGGGTGTGAGAAACAGCAGTCTGATTTACAGGCCGCCCCACCCTCATAAAGAGGTGTCAGGGCCCAGTTTTCCACTCGGACCAATGCTCTACGCCACTCTGAGAAACAGGGCCACTACCAGCGCACATGTCCCACAAAAAGCTTCTTTGACATATGCTTGGCAGTTGCCATGTTTGCCGTCTTCAGATCATTACAGGTTTCTGGAGGCGATGGAAAATGCAGTGGCTTTGATGGTTTGTATGTATACAGGGCCCTTTCTTTGGCTTAATAATACATTAAGGCAGACTTTCTGAATCACAAAAAAGATGGATTCGGTCATGTCCAGACCTGAAGGTTCATATAAATAAGAACGTCCACGATAAATAAAGAAAAACTCTTTTAGAAATCTAGTTTGAACACATGTTTCATGTTCATGGAAATGTACTCTTGATTTGATATGATTTTGAAAAACTTTGACACCATTTTCAACAAAAATGTCATGTGGTGCAAGTAAAACATAACATACTGTTTTGAACCTTACAACATTAAAGGGGAAATCTGATTTATGTTTATTTCTGCTATAATCGGGTCCCCAGTGCATCTACCAACTCAGAAAACGTGAAAAGTGACAACCCAGTAACTTTGTTTTGGTAAGCCTTTCTCTGCAAGCATGTCAGAAAATAAGCCGATCAGATTTCGCTCCCTTTCTGATGTAGGAAGGGGATCTTATTATAATATTACCGCCCCTTAATCTGCACGTTTCCACCCACGGCGCCGTCATTTGGTTTGCACAAGCGACAACAGTGTAACCAGTTCTAACGCAATGGCAAAAGTTCGAGCAAAGCATGTAAACTGTTGTCATTGCTGCACAGACGAGCACAGAACACTATTTGAGCAAAAAATGTCACAGCTGTCTAATAAAGACCTCAGGGAACTGTGTAACTTGTGTAAAAGTTAAACATGACGGTACATGCAAGTTGATGAGATGAATCAATGTAACTCCACAACAACTACATAAATGTATCCACTAACCATTCAGAAAGATCCAGGTGCGTCTAAAAGTTGCAACTGAGTCTCTCCTGCACTTCGCTACTGGTTATTTATGAGATTTTGGATGAGTGAGATTTGCGTGTTTTGTTATTGCCGGAGTATCCGAAGCTTGTGTAAAGGATCGGGGGTCTTCTGAACGGAGGCGGGGAGCAGCAGCTCATTTGCATTTAAAGGGACACACACAAAAACGGCACGTTTTTTACTCACACCCAAAAAGGGGCAAATTTGACAAGATATAATAAATGATTTGGAGTGTATTTTGAGCAAAAAATTTCACAGACACATTCTGGGGACACCATAGATTTATATTACATCTTGTAAAAAAGGGGCATAATATGTCACCTTTAAATACATTATTTTTTAGAATTTTTTTAAAATACATTTTACAAGATAAAATGCTTTTTTAAAACATCATGAATTATTGATTGATAAATATGACAAGTTTTTGACCTGAACTACCTGAACTATCATTGTGTTTGCATAATGAGGTCAAATTATCTGATAAATTAAGAGATTTATTGACCTTGACACACACACATGAGTCTGCAGGGGTCTCTCTATGATATAATGTCCTGTTTTGTGTTTTTTCTGTGATTCGCATACTCTCTTGAGAAGGCACTTATTTTTAATAAGTAATTACTTCACGACTGGTCAAAAAGTATGTTCTATATAGTATGGATGTGTGTAGTATGAATGTAACCTGGACGTGGTACATTCGCCATGTTGTCATTATCATGTGATCTACCAGCGTCAGTTGCGTCGCTTCACTGTCATTCATAAATCCTCTCCCGTGGCCTCATGGGATTGTAAAGTGTCCATCGTATGCACACTTTAGAATCTCTCGGGAAGAAGTAGCTCATCCAGGTACTTTTTGCCTACTTCTTTTGTCACATACTGTTTTTTGGCTACTATATAGTAGGGAAGTATGCGATTTCGGATGCAGTATGTATGTTGGTCGCACCACATGACTTCGACTTGGCAGACAAACGTTTCAAACGATATCAAGACAATTGTACCACTCAGAAGTTATAAATATATATTATAATTATACTTATTTTAAAAGAGGTGTATTCAAGTGATGGTATTTTTAATGTACAGTATTTTTGAATAAAATCTATAAAAAAAAACCCCACACATATTCATTTTACGCCAGATGTTCACAACTTGGCCCTAGTTTAACTTTTTTTTAAATAATTATTTATTAGACATGACTCTGAAATCAGCTCATCCCAACTCAAATCAAATAAATTCGAGTAAGTTCAATTCAGCTGAACTCATCAATCCCCACATCACTTGAACTTGTAAATATTACAGCATTAAAACCTCAACGAATGCATCTCAACCCAGTTCAGTACCTGTGAAGCAGCGGAGTGCATGGGTTGGTGCGGAGAGGTCTGGTGTCCATGTGCAGGGTGCAGGTGGGTCGGGTGGGAGTTGTGGTGTCCGTGGTTCTGGGGGTGGTGATGGGCGCTCTGTGCGTGGCTGGGGTGGTGGTGGTGGGCATGGTGTGGGTATCCATGAGGCGGGCCCTGCATGTGCTGGTGAGGGTGAGAGTGCAGGTGGTGGTGACCGGCCTGATCCTGCCGCGATGGCATCATCTCCATCATATGACCCATGGAGTTCATGCTGCCGTTCGCCATGCCCCCTGGATGGTGGGCAAGGGCAGCTTTCAGTCTCTGCGTAGAATATGGGGGAAAATGGTATTTATTAGCAATAGATAGATAGATAGATAGATAGATAGATAGATAGATAGATAGATAGATAGATAGATAGATAGATAGATAGATAGATAGATAGATAGATAGATAGATAGATAGATAGATAGATAGATAATTATTGATCATGTTAAGTTTCTTACCCTATTGATACATTTTCCCAACTTTTAAGTATGGAAAGAAAAATACATCTGGGAAAAATGGCAATTAGATATATTTTGTGAAAACAAATTACAATTTTGCTACCCAAGAAAATATATCTTTTTTGAGGATATTTACCTGGAAAACAAGACCAAAATTCTGATTCATTTAAACTTTAGTTAACATGACAAAAACATGGCTGTCTATTGAGTCGACAAGTGAGCGATTACATTTTTCCGAAAGATTATATGTGACCGCTCGCCCACATTTTGACGTACATGAATGTCCGAAACTAAGCCTGTCACTCCCATTTACCCTCTCACCCACACACCTACACACCCTCTTACACACCCAAACACACTATTCCACTATCTGTCGTCACTGTCTAAGAGCTTCATCTGAAGAACGAGCCCAGCGCGGTGCAGTTCTGGCAGCGAGAGGCCCCTGAGGACTCGATTTGCCCATTTCCCCTTCGGCCTACGCACTGTTGCTTCAACCGTGTGGTCTACTTAAGCTTTCACCCAGGGCTGGTCTTGGAGTCTATGACTCTAGAGACGCTCAAAGCGCGTCTGTGTTTGGAATATGTTTACCTGACTGCTCTCTCTCTCACAGAGCTGTTTTTCTGGGCAGCTCAATAAGACAACTTAGGGGTCTGAAAAAAGACACAAGTATAAACATGCCTCCCGCCAAAATATGTCCGATGGTTTGATCTGTTGACGGCACATGTAGACAAAATGAAAAAAATGAAAGTACATAAGCATGTGCATATATACTTGTATGTCTGTGTACATTCAGTGTCACTTTTGAGCCAAGGCAAAAACTCGGAGGAGTATTTTTAGAGAGTGTTGAGTCTACGGTATATATTTCCACAAGAGCTGAGCAGGTAGACTGATTTTATAAGAAATGGGTCTGAGGATCGAAAAAAAAAAAAAAAACACACACAAAAACTCAAATAAATGAAAGAAAACATTAAATGAAGTCAAGCAAGGATAATCTCTTCATGGAAAGTAAGACTTACAAAAAATCTAACAAAATAACACAAAAGTGCACTCAGTAGTTTTTTGTTTGTTGCAATGGCCAACATGGCTTCTTGGACGTATACTGACACCTAGTGCTGTGGATGCAGCATCATGCAAAAGCAAAAATGTTACGTCTCAAATGCCATTGTAGAAAAAGTTAAAATTTTAGTCAGCCATGAATACTGTAAGAATCCAATAAAATGAGGGGTAACTAAGTTACTTTAAAAGTACAGTGCTGTTGAATGCTTGATTCTGATTGGTAGATGAATATTCTAAGGCGTGCAGTAAATTTCAAGTAAACGCACGGCTAAAGTAGTTCCAGGCAGGTCTTGACCGCATTACAGTTCCATATCACTTCGCCAAATGATTTCAGTTATTTCAAAGTTCCACACAGCCTACAACAGCAAAAGAACCAAAACCCACTAAGACATTGATCAAGCAAATAATAGAACAAACAATAGGATAAAAATGACACACTATTTCCATGTTTTCCCCAAAAAAATACGTTTTATTATTTATGAAAAGGCACGTTCTCTTTCTCCCCATCTTTCTCACATAAAGCACAGACACAAACTCACACACACATGGAAACATACATGTGCACGCAACTTGACGTCAGCGTTCCCCTTTCACTGTATCAGTAAAATAGTTTCGCAACTGAAAAGCCACGCAACATTTCTCAGTATCAAAGAAGTAACATCATTGTTTTTGAAGCAGTTAAACTTACAGCTTTGCTGTTATAGAGACGCTGCTGCCGAAGATGATTGAGAGACTCATAGACTGAAGTAATTCACACACTTTTAATCAATCAATCAATCTCTCTGCTTCTGTATTAACTACATTAGTCTGCTTATCAATGGCTCAAGCTTCTGTTACTGGCTCTAAAAGGACGTTTTGGAATTAGCAACGGAGGCTTGTGATGAGATGTGTAAGAAATCAGTTCTGCACACAAGAGCATTTTAGGTACAAAAACCTGACAAATGTCTGAACAGTGTCTTGAGGCGTGTAACCACAGTATTAATTGACTCAGCTTTGCGTCGTGACCGCATTTCCACCTCGGGTGTGCATTATTGTCCTAATAATTCAACGTTCCGTCATCAATCATTCTTCACACAATCATCACATCATTTAGTTTGTGATTTCAAAATGGCTGCCTCCATAAGGCAACCCACTCCAAGTAAAATAAATATACAAAAATAGAGGCTTCATCTCATGTGACTGTAGATAATTTTACACATATTTTACAAAATTACTATTCACTTCTTTATGTGTATGTTTTTTTTTTTAAATGAGAGAAACGTTACTTAGCACACCTTCACGTAATTTAAATCTCACTAGTTTCCACAAACAGATCCAGAAGAATGAGAGAAAAGAATCAGACATGTCCCTGCCATGCTCCTGTTCTCCCTGCAGGCGCTCCAGATGCTGTGGGTCAGAGAGGCCAGTGTCCAGGGCCGTGTGTTTGTAACAGGCAGCACATTCACTCTCTGAGAGTCAGAGCCAGCTGGACCGTATGTGAGTGCCAAGGCGCAGACCACAGCACAGCATCCCTTTCTTGTCAAGCTGGTCAACCTGTGAGATGTCTTTTTTATTTTCAAGATGTCTTTATTCTCTGAATCATCCTAGTTGCTATTTACCAAAACAAAACCCAAATTGATTTGATAAGTTGCTGGCTCTTCGGCTCTCCAAGCCAAGCAAAGCCATACCGTCCCTCCCTGACTGCTGAAGCTGCCAGTGCTTTCTGCCTTCAAACACTGGCGGCCAAATACACAAGCACTAACTTTCCCATCCTTACTGCTGCCCTTAACTGGCGTTAACTCTGTTTTCACCCACCCGCTGCATCGTAATCCACTCTAACCCTTGCCAACTCAGCAATAATAAGCCACCATTGCCTTTATCAACATTTCTGCTGCAGCATGCAGAACACTTCCCGTTAAGAAAACACTGCAGCAACTGTGAGGCACCTAAACTTTCTATTTTCTGTTCTCCCCAGTCTGATATCTGTGTATATGTCTAGTGCATGATTGTGTGTATGATTTATATGTCTGGATTTTAATGTTGTATTGAAAAAGGACCAAGAGTGGCTGGTTTTGCCTTTTAAAACTTAACATTATTAACAACACTATACAAAAAAGTATTTGGACACTACATCAAATATATCAACCATTTTATTGGAAAAAATGCAGTGCTTGAATATATACACACACTGCCGTTCAAAGGTTTTGGGTCAGTAAGACTTTTGTTGTTGCTGTTGTTTGAAATAAATTATTATACTGTTATTCAGCAAACATGCATTATATTGATCAAAAGTGACAGTAAAGACTTTTACAATGTTAGAAAAGAATGGGAATAAAAGCAGTTCTTTTGAACTTTCTATTCATCAAAGAATTCTGAACAACATGTATCATGGTTTCCACAAAAATATTAAGCAGCACAACTGTTTTCATCATTGATAATATATTAATGTTTCAAATCAGCATTTTAGAATGGTTTCTGAAGGATCACGTGACACTGGAGACTGAAGTAATGATCCTGAATATTCAGCTTTGCATCACAGGAGTAAATTATATTTTAAAATATATTAAAAAAGAAATCAGTTCATTTAAATTGCAATAATATTTCACAATATTAATGTTTTTTATTGTATTTTGAATCAAATAAATGCAATCCTAAATTTGAGCATAAGACCACTTATTTTAAAAAGCATGAAAAATCGTGTGTATATATACAGTATATATATTAAAAAATGTCATGCTTTTTCAAAGAAGTGTCTTAAGAAGATTAAATTTGATAAATCATCTCATCATACATATATTATTTTAATTTACATTTTTTTTAAATGATAAAATATTTTGGACACTTTAATATAAAATGTAAATAATATTTAATAAAATTTGGACACTTTAATGTTGAAATATTTTTATGGAATTTTGAAATTCTGCACTTTTACACCACAATGAATGGTTTAATGGTCAATTTAATCAAGGAATGGTTAAACTGTTTTAAATTTTTTATATAACATACCGCATCTCGCTCTCTCCACTCGTCTAAAAAAGGAGACGTCTAGGTTCTAATACGTGTGCAAAGATGGAGTGTATCAGAATCACAGGAGCCAAGGGACCATCTTTCAACCATTAACATACTTGACATGGGGTCACAGTGCACTAAAACACCTCTGACTGATTGCGCCACCTGTCCATCAACACTCTCACTTTGATTGGACCTGGGCAGCTGTGCACCTATCTCTCCCTTCCTCTTGGTCCGGGGCAGATTGCGCCCGAGTTCCCACACGGGGGAATGCCACTGTCTGGGGCCGCGCCACTCTAAAAGAGAGAACAAGCACGGGGCCTCGTCCTATAAAGCTCCGCTTGGCAGTGAGCCAGCAGTTGATGGAGGGAGGAAGCGAGAAGGGGGGTATTGGAGTATCTCTCGCTCTTTCTCTTCCACAGGAAGAGACATTCATCCATCATTTGTGGGGCGTAGGGAGAGCGTCCGCTATCAGTGCTTTAATGTAATCAGTCTGGCTCTGAGCAGGGCCCCAGAGTGCCACACGGGGTCAGAGGCCAAATGAGCCACAACAGGCTGAGAGAGAGAGAGAGAGAGAGAGAGAGAGAGAGAGAAGCAGGAAGTGCACACTTAACAGATACCTAGTAACCACTAGACACACTACTGATACGGATTACACAAGCTATTGCTGAAACACTTGACCAAACGTGAGAGAAAAAAGTCTGAATTGATAAATATATAGTATACACTGAAAACAAATAGACGTAGAGACATTTTAACTCAGAACTAGTACAT